ATAGACTAAATTGAAAAAGCAAGAAAATCTGCTAAGCCAAAGCAAAATGGAATTCTGGTAGTGAAATTCTTGTGATTTTAAATCCTCTTCCTGTTGTCAGTCAGCTTTGGTTTTTCAGACAAACTGCCAGATAGACTTTCTAAAGGTCTGTTACCTACATGGTTGATACAAATACAGATGCCAAAGTATATTGGTGAGCTGATGGAATTTCTCCTTTCTGTTAGAAATGTGTGCTGAGATGGGTTTCTTAGGTAGGATTTTCACATGCTGGAAAAATATTTGGAGGCAAGACTGCACAATCTTTGGGGCACAAAGTAGGTCTGCTTTACTCTTGTAGAGATCTGAGCACCCTTTTAACACTGCAGAAAAAAATATATTATGTGATTTGTGAGCTCAAAAAGCGAAAATCTGTGACATGTTTACTCACTGCTAAACCAACACATCTATCAGATTTTGAACTTTCATAGGGCATACAGAGATGATAAGGAATTAGAAAATCATGCAGGAGTGGGCTGGTCTTACTAAAATGTCTGTTTGATTTGAATTTCATTTCATTTAAAAATGCCTAGAAACCTACTAGAAAAGAAGTATCTACCCACCACAAGAGGTACTGTAAGAAGATCTTTGCATTTGGCAAGCATATTCAGTAATATTATCTATGGATAAGCCTGCTAGATATTTCCCATCATCAAACTCTTTTTAACCGTGCTTTTAAAGTTGCTTTTAATCTTGTCAAGCTAGGACTTTTCTGTGCCATAACTTTGCCTCAAATTGTGTATTATATTTTATATTTGGAAAAAATCAGGCTTGTCTGATAGTAATTTTGGCATTTCTCTTCTTTCGGGAACTTTTGCTATTCATTACTTTAATAACGAGGCTTGAAATTTGTCTTCTATGTACACCTCATGATTATCTGCCTCAATTCACCTTTGGGATATTATAATTTACACTGTTGGGACACTTTCCAAAGCTCAGAAGTCGGTCCTTGCTCATTGTGGTCAGTTCCTTCCTAGGTCTCAGGCAGAGCTGGACTTTGCACATGCACTTTCCTTAGGATTTTTTGGCGTACTCCCTTCAACTGGTCTACTAAAGTCATGCTCATCTTGAAAAGGGTACCTCATGTGCAGTCTGGTCATGAATCTTGGTTCAAGTTTGGATACTGGGACAGAAAATAAAATTAGCGGCTGCTCACAACCACTTTGCTGGTGCCCACACATAGTGGAGACAGAATATGGTGGGATCAAAAAGAGGGAGTAGTAATGAGAAGTAAAAAAAAGGAGAAATACCAATAAAACTATTCCCCAAAGAAATTCCTTCTATGGAGTTAAAACCAGGTTGTACATAATGCACAGTAATGAGCACAATACAATAGCCAAGTGATGATAGGAGTCCAATAGAAAATATTTGTGTGCATTCATGTACTGAAAGCCTGTATTGCCTGATTAAGTTTGCCCTGGCAGTTTTCATTCTGTCCTTCCTCAACCTCTGAATGCTTGGCTTTAAACCAAAGAGTTCTTCAAGTTCTTTTCGTATATAAAGTGTCATATATAAATGATGCCTTTGTTTTAAGTTTGTCACTTCACTGCTTCCTCCTCTTCAGTGAAGAAAAACAAAAGTCATTAAAGATGATCATGAACAAAGAAAAACATATTGGCAAAAATTACTTTGTGCAAAAGCTGGAGTTGGATGTTGGAATCCTGAGGCATTTTGTAGAAGCTGAAAAGAAAACAATGTTTTTGACCTCAGGAACAGGACAACTGGACTCTTCATCAAATCCTTTTGCTTTGATATACAGAAGTACTTGCACGTTAGCTTCACAACAGATTTGACAGAGAAGCTGCTGGCTTACTCCAAGCTTTCTCCAAAACACTAGAAATGGTCATTCAGAAATGTTTATTTAGGAAGAGATCAAAAAACCCAAACCCAGACAATTCTTTCTTACAAGCCAATCATCAAGGACAATGAGAAAAAGAATATCTGACTGAATGGGGGCTGAAAAAGGAATAGAATTTCTGAAGCAGTAATTTTGACCTTGCTTCAATGCTGTCTTCATTTGCGTTTGTGCTGCTCCTTATTTTGGCCAGTGAAAACATGATCCAATCCACCTACCCTTTCTGCATAGAAGGAAGCTGCAATGTTCATACGTTCCTATTCATTTACTCACAATTCAAAGTAAGTTTCAGGTTAATTAGTAATTAAAGACAAATTGATCTGATCTGACTGGTCAGGAACAACTTTTAGAAGAAACTGAACTTGTGATTGTTGAGTTTCTTTTGCTTCTTTTCCTTTTCAGACTGCTTTGACTTTTTCTCAGAAAGAAAAGATAAAAAAATAAAAATAACATATACACAACTCCCCCCCCAAAAAAACAAACAAAAACACCAAAGCAGAAAAAAACCCAACAATTTCTGCTTCCTGCAGTGGAGGGATTCCTGATCCACTGGAGTGTGGGCTTGTTTAGCACACCTGTGTATTGAGGGACAGAAAAGAGGCAAGAATCCTCGAGGCAAAAAAGAAGCATCAGTACACTGCAGTGGAAGGTTGCCCTTTAAAGATGAACACACAAATACAGCAGGGGGAAGACAGAATAGAATGGAGAGAAATATGTTGTTTCCTCTTTAGTGTCTGGATGTTGTTTTTCTTAATTTCATTTTGCCTGAGAAGATTATTTGCATAGAAGAATGGAGACCAGGTTTGGTGTCAGAAGATGGTTGAATAGACCTGGATATGTCACTCTGTTTCCGTTTCCTCTTTCCCTCACCCTCTTTTCCATTTCATTTTTACAAATTAAGATTCTCCTTGAGTTAAGTCTTCAGGTGCTGGTTCCACATGTGTACATGTGTTCACGTGCATGTGCATGTTTTTTTGTCTTCAAGTCCCTGTATTGACTCACCTCACCTACAATTCCTCCTGTTTCATGCTGTAGAGCTGCACAGCTACTGCTTTGATTCAGATTAGAGCTCTTTACTCTGTGAACTCACTCTTCCAGAAAAACTTTTGATTTTCCCTCACAGTTCTTTGTTTATTTTTTCTTAATCCCAATGTTAGCTTGTTTTTTTGTTGCTCTTAGTTTGTTGTCCACTAGCAATCTGTTAAACTGTCTCTTAAGTGCTGGGTCTTCAGGAAGGCTTGTTTTTGAAGGATTCCCCGCTTGAAGAGAGGCCACACCACAGACAGATGGATACTTTATATGTTCCAGTGAGCTAGAAAAACCCCATAGCCCTTATCTCATCAGCTCCCAAACCAAAAAAGCACAAGAGTTCATTTTTGCTACCTGAGAAGCATATGGGGACAGTAGCTGAAGTGAGACCTTGAACTGTGCTTGAATACATCCATTGGAGATAGAACAGCAGCTTTTCAGCCTTCAGGATTTCTACACCTCTACAGATCAAGAAGAGAGAGAAGTTCTCATTGAAGAAGGTAGAAATCTAAAAAAACCCTCTGTCTGAGGGGAATGATCCGCCTATGTCCATCAAAGTTGAACACTTAGTACTATATCATAGTAGCAAGAGCAGGGAACTGTGATCAAGGCAACTGTCATAGAGATCATCTTTGTTGAGGGTTCTAACCTTCTTAGTCCCCTGCCCTGCATCAATGTGCTGTCCTGTATTGTCCCCAGCATTAGGTTGCCCCTGTCTTGTTTCCCAGGATAGACTCCATGGAGACAACAGACCATGTGACTTCCATACATACTGCCACATTTCAGATGCTCTTCTGGAACACCTTTCACAATTATATGAACTACCTCTACAGTAAAGGTATTACTCTCGTGCTTTAGTCATTCTGAGATTCCTTCATAACTAAGTGGTCTTGTGATTTGTCATCACTGTTAGCAGATTCTCTGGAAAGACTGCTACTGGTAGGAGAGTGGGAAGTAACCAGTTAAAGAGACCAAAGTGCCTAAGTATATGCTGTCTCTCCTCTGCCCTTTGACCCTAGAGTTTCTCAGAGCCCTAGAATACGAATTATTCAACTGTGTCATGCTTTATGCTCTAGAGATGAGGCCCAGAAATCCCAGGAAAACATGTACTATGTAGAGATCGGTCATCCAGAAATCTCTACACTAGCAAAATGTGAACCTGAATGGAACATCTTAGGTACTCAAGTAACCACTACAGGAGAAGCTTCTTTTTTCTCTCGAAATAAAGTTAGTTCTGCTGTATTTTAATTTTGTGTTGTAAAATCTTATCAGAGAATGCAGGACAAAATATTGAGGCGTTCAGACAAAAGTTTTTAGCAGGTTTTTCTTGGTGACAAACTTTAAGTGTTGCTTACAAGACAGATTTTGAGTTCCTTTTTAAATACTTGTATTCAGACAGTTCTGCTTGTATTGTCTGCTGCAAGTGTGTGTTGCTGGCAAGAGTCCATCAAACACGAAGCAGTTACTCACTTGGAAGTGAAGTTTGACTGTGGATGATTCTTCAGAGTTTAGTGATTCACAGCTATTGCATATCTTTTGCACGAAGTGTCAATAGTCTTTCTTGTCATCTCTTTAATCTTGCTGGCCTTTGGAGCCCAGAAGTTTTCTAGAAAATCTGGCTTAATAACGCCATAATTTGTGCAGGAATACTTTGACTTAAAAACCCTTATGGGCTGTAAGTTTGTTTCAACATAGAAGCAGAAAATGAGATGCAGGAATACTCTACTTAATATGTAGAAACACAACTATATTTTAACACGCATTTTCATGTGTTTTTTTAAAAGCAAAGTGCACAACAGGGCTTTTCTGCAAACTGGTTACAGAAACACAGTCAAATTCATTCACTGTGCAGGATATATCTTTTTAATAGACCTAAACCCAACAGTTTTGGCTCTTGTTTTAAGGCTGTAGTCAAATACACTTCCAACAGAGTTTTAGAAAGTATCTCTCCTTTCTAGAAGGTTGAACAGGAAATGTTGCATTGTTGTTGATATTGGCAGTCTTGCTGACACTTTTCTGACAAAGCAGATGGCGGAAAAACAAATAGAATAAGAATGTTCTTTTTCTGTAATTCCAACAAAGATATCCATCGGAGGTGGAGAGTTTGGTCCCTACTGCTTTGGGTAAACGTGAAACTGGTAATGTGATAAAAATAGGGGTGGTTCTTCTCCTGAAAATTTCTTCTGAATAGCAAAATATAAATCCTCTGTGAACATATTCAATGGAATTAGAGATATAGAAAGAGATCTAAACAGATATAAATTTCTATATGATTAGAGAAGATCTACTCTAGCAAGGATAACGGAATATTCAGGGGAACCATTGAGTCTGAAGGTGTTGGAAAGTTTGGAAAAATTTATGTACTTTTTTTTATTCCATGAAAACATGCACAGTAAGTTGGAAGGGAGCCTAATGGGTCATCTAGCAAACTTAATTCAGGAGTAGCACTACTTATGGTGTTCCCATGAGATGTTTGCTTGACTTGGTGTCTGGGAAAATTTCACACATTTTCTGGGCAATTTACTATGGTGTTTTATTAAGTTCCTCTTTAAAAGATTGGGAAAGGTTTAAAATTTGTAATGTATCTATTTCAAAAGTACTAAGAAATTATGTTCCTGCTGAGGTATCTTATGCTTGACTTGTTCAATCAAATCCTGCATGCCACACTGGAAAGGCAGTAACAACAAAGGGTTAAAATCTGTCATGAGAAAAGTGTTTCTTACTTGTCTCAGATATTTACAAGTTAAGTATAAGCTTGTTACCCTTGGCTCCCTTTATAGAAATAGGCACCTCTGAAGGATAATTAATCTTTCCTTTTCAGCCACTCAACCTCTGGGAGGTGGAAACTCGTGATTTCCTACAGTTATTTCCTTGAATAAAACCCTACCTCCACTTTCATCTTTTTCGTGCTTGTTTTCCAGGAGTATGGATGTAATAAAGTGTGAGATATTTGTATGTGGAACAGGGAACTTTAAACACAAAAAAATTAATTAATGGAAGTTTAAGGAAAGCAAGTTTCAAATTCAAGAGTGTTTGCTATTCAGAACAGGTGCCTTAAGCTGTCAGGGAGCCAGAATGTTATAACGTAATCTTTATGTTCCATCATAATTCAGTTTAATGTCAGATATAAAACATGGTCTATATATTCTGTCTGAATAATACCAAAACCAGTACACTTTTCTGGCAAATTATCTCAGATAAGGGATTTGTTTGAGAACACTGCAAGCTCCTCATGAAAGGAGACTACATTTTCTTTTAGGAGCAACTTCCTTTGTCTGCAGCAAATTGTCCAAGACAATTTGTGGACATTTAATACTAAGTTGAAAGAAAAATAAAACAGTCTGAAATATTTCACTTTGAATTCTCTGTACATATAGGCCAATACATACTGTGTTTTAGATCCTAATTATTGTCTTTTTTTTTTTTTGTGGCTGAGTATATAGCCTTCTGTTTTCAACAAGACCAGTCTATAATGCGACAATGTTGTGCAGATTCATCCATTTCATACTTTGATTTTCACATGGGAGGTTTCTTCTCTCACGTTTATATTCCTCCTATCACAGTGTAAAATACCTAAAAAAAGAAAGCAGTTACTGAGATGGCCATCCTTCAGGTTCCTACTAAGGTTTTCTGTGCTATCTCAAATATTGCATGAGTATTTTTTTGCAAAATTGATTTTACCAAATCAAGCCAAACACTCTAAGAGGTCTACAGTGATTTGATCAGTGTCTTAAAATCCTGTCCATAGAGAGGACCTGTTTTAAAACAATTATGTGTTGTTATTTGGAGTTTCTTCAGTGCAGATTTGAGTTCATTAGAACATTTTTATTGCACATGAGTAAACTTATTCTCAAATGCTACCAGCCGTACAAATCTAGAGGTCAAACCTGTAAGCTATTTCACTTTCCAGATATATGTTTAACTTCACTTACTGATGCTAATATTACATAATTTGATTATAACTAGAGCAGTTTTATTTCTAGTAGAGCTCCAATCTTTATGTGCAGCCAATAATGTAAAATCATATGCATTTCAAATTTTGCTTCTGTCTTAGCTATTTGTTACCACCTACTTGTCTTATTACTTTCCATATTTCTTCAATCTCAAATTTAATACTATGATTTTTTTTATTCACAGCATTAATTGATGATAACTAAAATAACTTATTTATTTAAGTCATTCAAGATTTGATAATGTTTTCTTACATATCTCAAGCTTGTCTTGCATATACCAATTTTTCCTTACCCAGGAAGATGCTTCCCATGTGGTGGTAGTATATTTTTTCTAACAGAGGGAAAATAGAATTTATTAACACTGAGAAGAAAATTGCATAAATAAAGAAGAAAAGTAAAACAATTCACTAGTATTTTCTCTGGATTTTCAATTATTTCTGCTTTATTTTATGATTTCTGGTATCACGATAATATGTCAAGTCTGCTCTTTGTTAAACTCTTGTGGCACAAGATGCTTTGAAAAAGTGGAGGTTGTTAATATTAGTGATGGAAAACAATTTTCAGGATGTAGCAGATTATACTACACCTGTCAGAATAGGCTGGGATAGGGGAGACAGAATGGCACAGAGTATTTCTTACCAGTTTTACAATTTTAGTCAATAACATTTAGAGAATAAAAATATTTTTCATGGCTCCTTGGTTCTACAAATGTTTAAAGACAAAGTGTAGCTGAAAATATTTGTTTATGTTTGCTGGTAGTTTTTCCAGTGAGATAAAGAAAACAAAAAATTCTTGGGAAAATTATCTGTTGTGAATACGCTGAGTTTTGACCAAAAAATATTGCAAGATTAAAATGGAGTGCCTTTTACTGGGATTGAATTTGGCCTGATTTTAGGTGCCATGTTTACCTTATCTAATCATGTTTTGACTATATGCAATGTTAATTCGTTGGTTTTTATACTTACAAGTCATGTTTTATCTCTGGTAATCTGGAACTAACATATTCCTTGAGAATTCCTAAACTATAAGATATTTTCTCTAATGAAAGTACTGGTATGAAAAATATTTAGCCTTAGCTGCTACCACACACCAACAAAGTACCAGGAATAGACTGGAATTAAGCTATTTTGCAATGCCTGTGTGTTAACCCTGTTTACTTGCTAAGCTGCAGCCACACATGTGTGGGATGCCTTTTTCTTAAAGAACCAGCCCCAACACTCCCTCTGGCTGCAGTCTTCCTCAAACTAATGAGCACCGTGGTGTGGGAGCAAATTTCAATGTGACTTCTCCTAAGAAAAGCTAAAGAGAGAAGGGTGCTTGTGGGTTCCCATAGCTCTTTCACACACATTGAGAAATAATGATACTATAGTATATAATGTTTTGGAATTATAAACTCTAATGTATTCATATAATTTATGTGTAATAACTTCTTGTATAAAACTCCCAGTTCCTTTGCTCTTTTATGTTTTAAGCAAATGTGATTGATGGTGCTAATTATTTTGGAAGATAGAGCAGATGATAGTGGATTTGAATATCCATGACAGAGTAGCTGAGTAACTGCAGAATCCATATAATTGATCTCAAGTATTCAGATAAAGTGTTACTGTGTGGAGCCTGAGCCTTTTATTCACATCACATACTAGAGTGCCGCTTTACAGAAAGCTGCCAATACTCCTCAGGTAGCTTTGCAATCATTTGAATCTAATTATATCAACTTCCTGTCAAATAAGGATCGTAACTGGAATCCTGGCTAGCATCTTACTCTCTGCTATAATTGTAAGCTCTCTATTAATATAAAGAATTAGTGACTGTAAATACAGCAGTAGAAATTCTAGCCAAAACTCTGGAGTTGCCGGCTGGGTAGTTTTGATGTGCTCAGCAAGGACAGTTTGTGCATAGTTGTCTGCTATGCAGATAGCTGTTTTATCTCATCTTGGCAGCAAAATGATTCAGAGGGCAGTGCTGAGTTAATCTGCCAGGCCCAGGAGACCTAGTTTAGTGGAGTTTTAGAGCCTAGTTTTGAAGACTATTAATTTATTCCTTACTGGCAGAGATTTCTGCTTTTTTTTTTTTTTTACACAATGACTATAAAGCCAATCAGTATGAGCTGCTGGTCATGTTTTGAAGTGACAGTTTTCTCTCATCTGTTTTTCTGACCCTTGTGGAGACACCCCAGGATGCATTTGCTCCTCCAAAGGAAGCTGCTGCCTGTTGCCTCACTTCAAGACAGCAGACCGCTGCAGCTGGCTCATCACTCTCTCTGTAGGCAACTTTTACATTGTGTCAGATCTGCCTTTACATGGGGAGAATACTTGAATTGCAGGAGTATGTCCCAACATTTTAAGATACTGGTGTTTGTGATATGAAATACTAACTAGACATATTATTTTAAACCCATAAGTGTAACAGCATATTTTCTGCTCACTCTCACATAGTTCTGATTTTCAGTGCCAGTTATGAATTTGACCATGGGTAAAAAAACTCCTTGTGTCATTTTGGTAGACAGTGTTTTTATTTTCTTAATATGTATAAAGATGTGCAGGAAATGATGGGTAGGGTACAGCCAGTAAGACTCTAATGGATAGTACATAAAGATCAGGAGTCAGATGTGCCTGTTGGTTTGAAAAGATATGTTTAGTGCAGCCCACAGAGCCCTGACACCAACATCATGGCATGTTGCCCAGAGAGTGAAATCTAGTCCAACAGTAAATCATCAAAATTTGTTCTATTTGACATTGTGTTAAAGCAACAGTCTGCAAAAGCTAGGACCACCAACTATGTTTTTTTGCTGCATATGTGCTGCTTTTTATAAGCCAAATGTTACTAAGATGACCAAGAGCACTATTTAGTAAGTGCAGGCCAGTGCTGTTCATCACCCAACAATCTGTGCTTAATTTTCAGTACACCCTTATCTAGTTTCCTTGGGGAATATTTTGACATATTGAAACCATATTTTGTTGCTTTTCCTATCTTCACAACCCTTCAGTTCTTCCTATGAAATTTCTATGCATCATTTCCAGTTACATTAAAAAAAACCCTCACCCAAACCTTTAGACAAAGCATCATTTCAGCTTGCCCTAAACAAAAGGATTACAATGTAAAGAACATCTAATTATATTGCAAAAGTTTTCCATTGTTGGAGCCTATGTGCTGTTGGACCAGACTTTCCTACTTTTAGTCATCTTAAGAAATATCATGCTTTTATACAGCTTGTAACATTTCAAACTCTTTTTGGTTTGTTTTCTTAGCGTGAAAAAGAGGACAAGATGGTAGTCTTTGAAGAATTCCAGTGACTTTCTAAAGAGTGTTAAGCATATAGCCAAATTTTTTGGGTGGGGTAGGAACGGTAATACTTTGCCTAGAAAACACTGTGCTGCTTAAAACTACAATCAGTAACAGTATCAGTTTAGGAAACCAGTTACCCATCACATTTCTCCATGTTTCTTCTCCGTACATTGTAAAGATACTGGAAATATAAAATCACAGAATGATAGAATATGCTGAGTTGGAAGGGACCCACAAAGAACATTGAGTTCAACTCCTGGCCGTGCACAGAATCATCCCCAAGAGTCACATCATGTGCCTGGGAGTATCATCCAAACACTTCTTGAACAGACAGATGCATTACGGGAGAGGTATTTTGACTGATGAGCTAGGCCTGTGGTAAACAGCAAGGAGACAAATGATCTGGAAATAGTGTTATATGGCATCATCCATTAACATCAACCTAAAGTTAAGAGGTTTTTTTATAGTGCAATATTGAATTCTTCCTTTTTTTAAAAACAAAAGCCCAAAACTAAACCAAAAACAAACAAACAAAAAAGTATAAATTAATTGATTTCTGTAATAGATTTCTATTTTAAAAGACACTCAGAGCAGTCACACAAGCACAGACAGCACTAAAGTCCTCATCCTGCTCCACTCTTTTGCAGACCATGATGGAGGTCCATTAGTGAAAACACATATACATATTCATATATATGTGTGTGAATACAGCTCCTCCAAGCTGCAGTCTGATCCTGAGTGCTGCACTCATCGTCCATACACATATATGTACCCCTAATAGACACCCTTTATCCAGGAAAAGAGCTAGAAAGGAGTTTTATAAGAAGATGGGAGAGACTGTGCTGACCTGGCATAGACCATGACCAGACAAACGTATCAACTGGTAGCTGTTTACATAAATCTGGCCCTTTTTCATCCCCTTTCTCTTCTGTTTTCCTACACTTGTTCCTTCCCAAATCATCTAGATCCCTCCCTTTCCCCAGCTTTAGGTCCTCCTCTGGTGAAGTAACTTGATGGATCCTGCAATGGGCCTGACAGGGTATTAGTTAGGCTCCCTGTTCGCCCCCTCCTTCATCTATCTGTACTCCTTTCTAGGGATGCAAACAAGCTTTTTATCACATAACCTAATATATCAATTAATGGTGCACTAGAGGTCCAAAAATTATGAAATTTCAAGCAAAAAATTTGTAATATTACAACACAGAAATAATGCCTCTTTGTCAAACATTTGTAAGAGATCACTGTCTTACTGGGATGACAAATGAGTCAAGACTAGAAATGTTGGCTACATTCTCAATGCACATCAGCAGGTGTGGGCAAAACTGTGTGTGTGGTAATAAAAGGTGACTTGTCACAGTGTTTGCTAGTAATTCTCTCACATTCTGAGAACTGTTCCAGCTTAGGAAATGAATCTGAACAATTTGGGCTGTCTGCACTCTGCCTTCCCTGCAGCCACAGAATGGGGTACTGTTATCTTTTCAGACTTTCAGATCTCTGCTGGATATCCCCTTTACTGGCTACCTGGTTCCTATTCAGTCTGATACTCTCCTGGATGGGCCAAGTTCTCCAAGAGTTGGTGTGTTTTCCCTAAAAGTGTTCCAGATTGTTGGGTCGATAGGAATGTAATAGGTCAGTGCTTAAGGCTCTCAGTATTTACAGTAGGTTTTGCACACCTGTACCTAACCACAGGAGAGTATTTTGAGAAAGCCAGCAATACAGGGTTGGATTCTGCAGAGATTTGCTACTTCCCAGGCAGTAACCATTGAAACATTGAAGAGATGGAGTTATTTGGTGAAGACTGTGGGATGAAGATGGTAACCAAAGAAGTGAAAGTCCAGTGGTTTTGGGAAGCCTGAGCTTTAATAAGCTCATCTTGTTAGCTTTTAACATTACTGAAAAGTGAAGGACTCCTGCCTCTATCTAGGAGCTTGCTGTACCATAACTCTGAAATATGTCTCTCCCTTAAAAAGTAAAACCAGAATATATTAAATGTTTTTGACATTGTAGACCATGTATTTCAATGTCATCCATGCTACTGGAGGGCACCAATGTAATTTTTGCTCCTGGAACAACTATTCTTTCATTCACTTGAAAGGGAGCTTTTATGAGATTTTTTCACATACTTCATACTAATTTTTCTCAAAGGACATAAATCATTCAAAGATAATTCCAGATAAATCATTCAAAGAACTTTGGTTGTAGGCTACTCTTGGCTCTTCCTGGAACAGTGTTGCTACAACACATCATGCAGACCCTCAGGATATTTTCATGCGCTCACTGTATGCAAAGACCTTTATTTAGCCTTTAGAAAGCCTCTTGCACAATTCTGCAACCAAGATCTGAATATATATGTCTCAATAGCTTTTATTTGCACAAAGCACGTGTGTATACAGAACAGGTTTTGTAGCAAAATAAGTCAATAGAAAATATTTGCAGATATCTCTCAAACTAGCAAAAGTTATCACTAGAAATCAGCACCCACTTTTTAATGAGATCCATTTATTTGTCAGATCTGCTAGTAAAATGTCACAAAAATATCTGTGAGATTGCTCAGCTGACTTGGCAACTCATTTGAACTGGTTAGAGGGGAAATTTTAGCTACCACCAAGTGTGATGCAACATGAACACTTTTAAGGTTCTAATCCTTGTGCTTGTTTGCTTAGTGAAAAAGTTTCTACCAGCTGGGATGACTGCTCTTTCAGTGCCTAAATCAAACATACCTGAAGGCCTCAAGATGAGAAAAATAAATATTTGAAAAAAACCCTGTGTGTTTGCAAGGTTTGCCTTATCCTGGTTCCTCTCTCACACTTTCATTTTCCCCTTCATAAACTTAAAAGGAATAGAGAGAGATCCTGAACACCTAAAACCAGTACTAAAGAGGTTAGTAGGTAGGGCTTGTGCATTGTGGGAGGAGATTATAAGCAAGAACAGGGTAGCCTTTCAAGGGTGTTTCAACATCTATACATGCTTGACTGCTTTATGCTCATCCTGTTTGGTACAAAGAGCCAAAATTAAAGTAAACCAGAAGGGCAAAAATTTGCAGTATGCTGCATTGAATAAAAAGGTTTAACAAACACTGTCTATTTATTCCTTGCTTGGAGAAAAAAGGCTGGTCTTTTGTAAAATGTCTTAAATTCTATTTTCACTGAAATCAAGAATAGTAAAACTCAACAACCTTTGTCTCACAATGTTTAGTTAATTGTAAGGAGTGTTCATATGCAGTAAAAAATGCAGAGATACTTGCAATCTTGCATTTTTTTCTGTTATTGTTAATTTGACAGCATTGTTACTGAAACATAGATGCGGAAGGGATCTATTTGGGTCATTGCGTCTGACCCGCTGCTATTGCAGCCAACATCAGTATATATGTATAATCCCCTCCATAAAAACTGAAGAAAATATAAGTAGCTGGGAGTAGTCAGACTAAAAACCTATCTAAAGTTTTTCTTTAGAATTTTAATGCTGTAATTGTACAGACCTTTATCTAATTTCCAAGTTAATTTTTTCTTTATCTTTTCTTACTAGATAGTAATGTATTAATATTTACTGTGAAAGGATTAAATTAACAGAGGGATATTGTAACAATTTGTGAATCCAGTTAAATTCTGCAGAGCAGAGCATACTGTACCAATACAAATATTTGCATGGTACTAAAAATTAATGTATGTGGAAGAACATAGATCAAGTAATTCACTGTGAATTTTTAAAACTTCCACATAACTTTCATATCTCACTCAAAGAATGTAAAAAATACGTTGGTAGTAATCTCTGAAAGTGCAACCAGACACATTGTTCAAGTGCTATAGGTTATATTTTAAAAACCATAGTCATAGAAATTACTATTTTTTTGCTATTTTGCATTCATGAAAAGCCAGTGTAAAATTATTATTTTTATAGAGGCTTGGAAATTAACTGTAAATAGTTTTGAAAGATTGGAAATAGATAAACATGCACATATGAGAGCCTACTCACCCTGTGATGTGGCAATGGCCAAGTCCTGCACAGACTGTGCCTCTTTCACAAATCATGTGGGCACAGTAGGATAGGGAATTTCTCATCTACGAGGGTAAGCACTTCTGCAGGCTTGTAGGGAAGATATCTATCTTGATTTCTGAAAGCAATATGGTAGTCCCGAAATACAGACTAGGCTTTCTCTGAGGGGTTCCTTAACCTTTTTTATTCCCTACCTCAGGGAAAGTGAGTCATGGGATTTGCTGGAGTTTATCCATCGCACTTCGGCTCTCACGTTGTGCAGGGGCAATTGATACCTTACCTTGCGCACTGATGTATCTACCAAGACAACAAAAATATTGCAGAAGACTGATTTCTCTCCTAGAGTCTCTGCAGCTGACTGACTGTCAGAAAGGGAGATGTGGGACAGATTTGAACTGATTTTTTCAACATTTGGAAAGCAGGCTATGGAGTGATGACACACTTCACTTTTGAATAAAGAAACAAATGTGATACATATTTTAAAAGTGGAGAGACTGCTCAAGTAATTGACAAGTCTGACCTCTGGGACTGTCATCCACTTAAAACACTTTCCTATTTTGTAACAGCTCACGTATATTTTTATGTTCATTAGGTATTCAGAGAGTGCTTTCTTTTCTGCAAGTAGCGGAGAACAGCAAGGAGTGGAGGATCCCAGACACAGAATACACTTGTGATGCAAGATGAATTCCTGAGGCAGGAGATTTACAAGGACCAGTAATGAGTATTACTCACTAAGATCATTAAGGTAATCTGTCTTGTTTTACTCTGCAAAGTACTGTAGAAGTATTCCATTGGGATTTCTTGTTTGTTCATCCTAGTTATTTCCAGGTTGGAATTAATGAAGTTCAGCAGTTTAAAGCTTTGGCTTTTCTTCACAACCACAGCTTTAATCCCACAAAATATCTTATGAAAGCCAGGCAGGTTCCTTTTCCAACTCTTTTATTATGATCATCACTGAAGTTTATGGCACAATTCCAAGCTACCCTTGTTTGATGCCCCTGATCTGTATCAAGTAGCAGAGATTTAACTGTTTATCTCCAAAGGAACTACGGTGTATGCATCTGTAAGTGTATTTTGAAAGCCTGATTAAGAAATGGAATTCTCCTGCCTCTGAGCAAAAGGATTCACAACTGAGTGAGTTGTGGCTAAACTTGTAAACCCAGGGGATTTGGTCTAGGGCTTTGAAGAGTGATACAGTTTCCATAAAGTTGGTGGTAGAATGCTGCAAGCTTTGTGATTGGATAATGTAAAAATTCTTTTTCAACACTAAGGAAGACACAGGCATTTGAAAGTGAATAATCTGATTTAAACACTTGGGTGTTTATGATGACCTCAAATGATTTAATACAGTGAAGTGTAATTTGAGGAAAATATAACTCCAGATGCTTGAGACACTATATTCAGTTCTGCTTCAATATCTAGATGTCTCTGTGAGCTACTGTGATACTGAAAAGCTCAGTAATAAAGAGTTTGATTATTCATATTTCAACTGACACTAACCTTCAGAGAAGAATAGTTTTCAGAGGAAATTATCTAAAAGCTTCATAGTGTTAAAGGCAAAATAGATAAAAAAATCTACATAAGAAAAAACAGCAGGAGAGGAAATACATGCCTCTTTCATTTGTAAAGGTGTTATAATACTGTGTAAGATCCTCTTTGTACTTCACAGTTACACTTGCAGACAAGTGGAAATATTTACACTCAATGAAAGCCACAGTGTGTGCAGAAAATTTCTTTCCTATTTTTAAGAGTAACTGTCTAGAATACTTGAACACGATTTTGTGTCTCTCCATATTGTCCTCTGGTGAATAAAAGAAGAGTATTCAGCTGTAAGTCCTGGCCCTATACTGCTGAGTCTGCAATAAAAACCTCTTTGGATCAGGGGATAAGAAGAGCTACATTCTATTGGAGTTATCACAAGTTCTGAATGGCCTTGATAAACAGCACAAAGACAGAAGTTCTTCCCTATTGAGATACAAGCACCGTCCTTGTTACAAGGTCTTGTACACAGTATTGCCAAGCCCTGATTTTAATTGCATGTTTCCAGTTGCTATTTTAGTAGAGATATTAATGAAGGATAATGTTTGAAGAACTTCTGTATACATCCATTTCACTTATATATCTTGTCTGTAAATATTTAGAATTTTTCAAACCCACATTTAATCCTCTCAAAACTAGAAAGAGATAGTATTGAGTTTAACAAAAGCAAGTTATATATCTTCTGGAATATTTACTTTTCTGAAAAAGCTTCTTGACCTTTAACTCCTGTCATCTTAGCTCTGCTTTCAATATGATATTTTATTTTTCAGTAAGTATTGTATATTTTTGGTGTAGTAGTGCCTGAAAGCCTCAATCACACTCCTATTTATGAGCACACCTCATACCTGTAGTGTGAGTACTTCTGAGGAGCATCCTGTGCTCTGAAAAAACAAGGTAACCAGGTAAAAAAAAAAATAAATCTTCTTTCAATGTTTACTGTGGAACCAGAGGACAGCCTGATGAAGTGAATTGCTCAAGTTCCAATGAGAAGGCAATGGGAGAATTTGGATTTTGTGAGTCCCAGACTACGAGCTTAACCACAGATTTACCTTTTCTCTGAATACAGGCACTGCAAAGACATGTCTAATCTGTGAATCTTGAACTTTTGCGACAGGGTCCAGGTGCAAGTTCCATGCTGGGGCTGTAGCACATCACTGGTAGTGGAACTGTGCTGATGCTGGTCTGATGAACTCTCTGAAACCCTAGCTGTGGGATGAAGAGTCTTCATAGGAACAACTTGACTGCTAGGCTGGCATTGCTTGGACTCCTCCAAGGCTGCAATTCCCTCAACCCAGTGCTGTCCTGCACTAGAGAAGTGAGACTCTTGGCAGAGTGATTCTCATTTCCTGCCTCTGGACTATCCTAGTCCTTACTTGCCCAGTCTAGAGGCCCTCTATCCTGTGTGGAGTGGGTACACAGGTCATCGGGCTAGAAGTATGTCAATGCCTGCACTAAGTTCGATTAAATATCTGGTGTTATCTATTAAAGGAAAAACAACTTCTGAATAATTTCATATGTTCTCTGGGGGTGGTTCTTTAAACATTACAGAGAATTGCTGTATGTCCACCTCAGTTTCCTATTGCTTTGTTGTATTGACTTCTTGTTTATTGTTCTGTTGTATCTTCATTTCACCTTTATGGGAAGGCTCTGTCCCTCTCCCCCCTTCATACAACTTTTCTACTGGTAGCTTTTTATTGATGTCCTGATAATTTAGCTACTATACCATGTGAACAAGAAAATAATATTTAGGTACGAAGTCCTACAGTCTGCAACTAACTCTTTTCATCCAGCAAACAAAACTTCCACTACTATTGTCCACCTGGGAGGGAGCCTCAAAGACATCCAGTGAGGACAGCTCTGTCTGCAGTGATGGGGATACGCAGGGCTGCAGAAAGGCCTGATAACAACATCTTGCCCTGTGCACCCACTAGTGAAACTGAATCTGACAATTGCATATGTGTATATGCTGATAAATCACGATGGGAAATAGATGATGATTCTTGTTTTGCACATTTGTTTTCTTCCCAACTAGTTTCTGCTCTTCTGGTTGCACTGCTGAGGTGCTTCAGCTTAGCTTTAGATGATGAAAGAGTCAGAGATTGCATGAAACAGCTATTCTGCTCTGAGCTCCCTGTCACTGAATGGACTATTGTGGGGGAACCTACGTCCACAGGAGGAGTGTTTTAAGATCCCATCTGTATAGCTTAGTCTGAGTTCTAATTTAAAATTGGCTCTTAGCACAACACAAGTCCAAAAATAGATTAAGTATATTTATTCATACTTTAGCTGAAATTAACATACCCAAACCATCTTTGTTATAAAAGCATAACAAAAACTGTATTTCATTTGCTGCATACTGTTGCCCTATGTAAGTGCAATTGATTTCTGGTTTACAAAACCAAAACTAAACAAAAAAACTAACAAGAGCCAGTATCAACACAATTGTTCTAATGCAACATGTTCATAGCAAGGAATCAATTAAAAAGTAATGTCAGAGAGAATACGCTGAAAATCTTTCTTCCCTGTGAGTTTAGTAGTAATTTAAACTACAGTAAAAATAGATTAGTCTTGCTTCATTTACATTCAAGCATCTTCTAGTGAGAAAATTCTTTCCTTTTTTTTCTTTTTTTTTTCCTTTTTTTTTTCCCCTGCATTTTCCTCAGTTTGGGTTGTTAAGCTTTCTGGACAGAAGCTTCAAAGTCTTCAGTCTGAAAAACATACTAATTGAAGTAACTGTTAAATCCCACTGCTTTACCACTGTAGATTCTGTAGACTCTGCAGAACTGAGATTCCAGCTGCAACTGTATTCCAGTCTCACTGGAGGGAATACATATGAAGTAGGGTGGAAGGGTAGATGAAGGGAAAGACAGCTTTTGTGCTGTGTGGTTTATTGGCTTCAGAGTTTTTCAGAAGACATTTTAAAAAAAAATATCATCTTTTGTTTCAAGGGACTTTAACTGTTTGTTTCTTAAACAGGGGAAATCTACAATATTTTTGAAAGTGGTCTGAAAATGCTGAAGAAAAGAGGGAGGGAGAAAAGGAGACTATGGCTTATCTTATAGACACACTTCAGGTTGATGTTTTAGCACATGCCCAAATCTATAAGTCAATTCTAAGCATTTAGAATTAGTATTTGAATACCTTGCTGCTTCTGAACCATAGTACTCTGAGTATTGCAATCAACCCAACTAATCTGAACTTAAAATTCTTTTTTGATCTCATAAAATCAGTTCTCAAGAAATACTAGAATGCAGAGCACAGGTGAAGACTGTGATCAAGAACTACTATTAAAGGATAGGAAGATTATTGAAATTCATGTCATGCTTTATGAAAGGTGTAAAACATAACAAAACAAATAACTCTACCACCAAGCCTGTTCTGTTTGTTTTGAATAAAGTGCCTATTTTTGAGATAGACTATAATATTTAGTGTCCTCACAAGTATGACTTCCTTCTAAGTTAATTTCTGCTGTTACAATACGAACGTATGCATGTTAAATTCTGCATTTGTTTCCAGACATGGGGATTTCTTCCCCTTGGAATTACAGGGAAAGCAAAGATTGATTTTGCCCTTCCATGGAGCCACTGTCACTGTGTGCTCTGCAGTCCGTGCACTGCAGCTGGGAAGAGTATTTCCACCCCACACTTACATGTGTTTCACTGTGACCTCATCTGATCCTGTTTTTACAAGGGAAAAAACTGTGTTACTTTCTGTAAATGCAACTCACTGTGTGTAGAAAGGAATTTGCCCTGCCATGGCAGTACAACAGATGCAAATAATTCACGTGTTTTCCCGTGACAAACTTGTTCACTACATTGTTGGACTGGATTCCACTCAGAGAGACCCATGTTGGCTTTCTAAAAGATGTCAAACACAAAGTAATTTTTTTTTTTTTTTTGCTGATGGTCTGTTACACTTTCCTCTAATGCTATTTCTGCTAGCAGTTCTGGTCGTAGAGGTTTTGAGGCAGCTATCTCGTAATCTAATTCATGTCAATTAGTTGTCAGTCCAGACAAAAGCCCTCTTATTCAGTTTGTGTAACTAGCTCCCAATAAATCTTCCTTGTGCTCTATCAGCACATGTGGTAACATTTTTTACCCCAGTCCTCATTTTGTAGCTTTTATCAACAGCTAAGAGGTCAAGAGACCTCTTTCTCACTCTGTCTTTATTTTTTGTTTTCTTACCACGAGAGTAATGTAATAAAGAGTAAATGAGTGAGGTTGAGTAATTACACACATCTCTCTTTTAACTAATATTTAAAGAAGCTTTTTTGTCAGTATGAGCATATACCACTTAACTCTCTATTCAGGAAAACTGATCAAAGTGAAGATGACGTTTCTCTATGATATTAAGATAATGGGTGAAGAAGTTTGTAGGGATACAAAAATAAAGAAAAAAAGAATGGAAATTTAATTTCTTAGAACCGAATTTGCTTCATTTGGTGGTGGTGTGTGGCTTGCCTGGGGACTTTCTCATCAGTGAGTCTGGAGGTTTACTGCTGGGGAAGGCTCTGGATGCCTAGATTTTCTAACTTAGTTGGTGGCCTTTGATCATTACTGTAGCTAACATGGGGCCAGGATGACCTAAGTGAAAAGAGTTTTAAAATGAAACATCTTACGAAGAAGTGTGAACAAGTGAAGTACACCTAACAAACCAGTGTTGTGGGAGAGTTAAGGCAAGAGAACTTTGAAAAGTTTATTTGAGCTAGGGAAGGTTGAACCACAAACCCCCAAAAGATAGTCTCACTTCACTGTTACCTTTGCCTTTTTTGGCATGTGTGGAGTCTGTTCTCACATGGCAACTTCGAGCCTGGATGGTTTTGGTCAAGTCCTGACCTCTACTAGAAAGAAATATGTCCCAGGTAGTGAAAAACAGGAGTGATTCACCTGCCAACCAGCCTCCACAGTCCACGCAACATGTGGTCATACAAAAGCCTCACATGAGCCACTGAAGAACAGTTGCCAAGAGCTACTTTGGTTGCACTTTTCATTGGTAATTCCTGTGAACTGTAACAGCTCTGAGTGAGAATCTGGGGATGATCTGAAAGAGACGAGGTCACTCATTCCCATCTTCCCAGCTGCAGATAAAAATCAGATATGAATCAATATATCCTGAAGGTGAAGAGTTGTTTAAGTAATATTAAGAGGTTGTTGCTGTGATGTTATTGAGATGCCCTCAGACATGGAACGATGTTTCATATGGATGTTGAATGCAGATAAAATTAATTTTACAAATACCATCTGAGTGGCTAATCCATGAGAAAACTTTAGATTCAGATTGACGCATGTTGATGTAGCAGAAAAGACAGAAGTGTCAGCAGGGTAACACTATCTAAAAGGTTGCTTAGCAAAGAAAATAAACTGTCATGTATGCACTCTAAGGGCAGGACAAGTACTAATAGTTACTTATTTAGCTAAGTTTTCAACAGCTGAATCAGCTGTGTAACCTGATAGTCTGAAGACAGCAAAAATTTCTTCTTACGTTTAAAACTTCCCGTTGATTTACAGGACAGTTTTCTAAGAGAAATAATCACATTAAACTCAATGTAAATGTCATGGTATAACAACTAAGTCCACAGTAATTTTAAATAATGCTTTAAACTAGTTATTTCCATTCTGAATAGCCTTGAAGATGCAATTTATTTTCTGAGTTCTGACATGTATAAAATAATTATAATATTTCTCTCCTCTATTGGGAGTAATTAGCAGACTGCTCTATAAAGCATAACCCATGCACAGCTCTACTTGTATAATCACAGTTATCTTGTCATCAGAATAAACAAACTACTTGTGTATATGTTTATTGGTCAGAAATTTGTACAACTGTTGATAACAACACTTTCCGTTATTCTGCCATCTGCATTTTAAAAAGGAAATGGTAGTTTAATTCAACAGTAGGACACACATATGGACATATGCATATATATATTCTTAACTTTAGATAGCTAGGTAAGGACTTTCCAGCTAAATGTTAAACTATGCATCAATAGGGAAGGTACACTGTTGGCAAAGTTAAAAACACCAAATATATGATATTCTTTTGTCAATCTATTCATGGAGATTGAAAGGATATATGAATTATAAAAATTATTTATTTCAGTAGACCAGTGGAAAAGTCTATTTATGCCAAGCTCAGAAGAAAATGGTGTATTATTTCATATTAACAACATAACTGAGATGTTAAGACTTTTAGAAAGCAAATAGAAATCACATTAATTACCAAAAGGAGAATTTATTTAATTCAGGAAATGCTCAGCCTAATTTCAAGATATTAATGTAAATTCCACAAACTGTGAAAAGATGAGTGCTTCTATGGGCAGGTTGTATAAACAATGTTAAATGCCTCATGTTGGTCTGCCTACCATGGAGTCATGTGGTCTTATAGGAACCACCTCTGTCATACTCAGTGGGTCTCTTCCAACAGTTCAGACAGCCCGTTGTCCTACCTTACTCATTTTATTTAGGCTAGGAGATTTCAGACGCTTAGGATTCAATGCAGTATCAGGAGAATCTTCAGCAAAATTTACAATTCCTATGTAGAAAATTTGTCCATGACATCTCTGGAGATTTTACAAAAGCTTAAGGGGCACAGAGATTGCAATCTGGCAGCAGCTGTCTGTCCAAGTCCTCTTCAGAATGATGCCAGCTGGAGGAGGAGGTAAAAGAAAGGGCTAAATACTTATGAGAGGAGAGCACCTAGGCAGAGGCCAGATCTTCTTTATCAATTCTCCTCCCATAGTGCTTTAATATCAAGCTCACTGAGACGCACCAATCACAAAATATCTTCCAAATTTTTACCTGAATGATGCAGTGATTCCACTTTATTTTATTCTGACTGTATTCTTTATATGGTGCTTTTACTAATCTGAAATGAATTAGACTGATTTGA